AAAAAAAAATTCTCCTAAAGTTTGAGCTCAATATCTCAAAAATTGAGCTGGCGCAAGGGGGGGGGGGGGTTCCCCTTTTCCATTTAAATAACATTGTAAAATTTCTTTTTTTGTTATTTTTAAAATAACTATATAAATAAATTTTTTTTTTTTTCAATTTTGCTCTCAACTATTTTATAGGAAATTTAATTTTCTACAAAATTGTTTATGTTTATTTTTTTCCTAAACTCAACAGAAACGAAGTTACAGAGGGCCGAATAGGAGGAAAAAAATAATTAATGAATTAATAGCAGAAAAAAATTTATTATTTTAACTTATCAATAATTTAACTCAATGTAGGGTAAATGTTCCAGTAGTTGACCGGGCACCAGTAGTTGACCGCTTTCATAAAAAAATCCAAAGATTGTTATTAACGGAATTTTTTATGACCTTGAAATTTATTTTTAATTATTTTTGAACTTATAATCATTACAATGAATAGGCATTCCAAATTCTATTTAATTTTTAAAACATTGAAAATAATTCATGAAAATTTCTCACCGCATGATCTGACTAAAATCGGTCAGTTACTATAGTAGAGTATCCGAGAGGTGACTACATTCTTTAGTTAGCAAAAAAGTTCCTATTAGGTTAATCTTGTCAAATTAAATTCTTAAGTAATCTTTAATAGCTTCTTAAGGAGATATTACCCTAAAACAGTTCTCAACTTTCAGAAAAATTTCCCCCCATATGCCCCAATGTAAAGCATTATAACTACAATATGAAGTAGTTGAGATGCAGTACACTTTTGCGCCTCCTCTCATATGCGCAGAAGTAGAAAAATAATCCCACTGCGTCTTTTTTTTGACTTGGCTACGTTGCATTCTCGCTCAGAATCGTTTGCCCCTTGAGACATGTGTTGTAGAAAAATTTAATGTTTTGAAATAATTTTGAGGTTACGTATAGTTGGAGACTGCAAATAATAAATAATGACTTCGCGGCTAAAGAATGGCAGATTTTAATTTAGCAATATTTCGATCAGTCTTGAGTGATAGAAAAGGTCCTGGTAAATTTAAATTAGAGTCAAGATTTTTTAAAAAATTCAGATGATGAACAACAATCATTCCATGATACAGCTTATGACGTTTTAACTTTACAGAATTTAGTGGAAATATTAAATTTAAAAAATTTAAGAATCCAAAAAAAAATAATTTTAGGAAAGAAAGAGTTTCTAAAAAAGAATAAAATAATTAGTAGTATTAATATTCTTCTAAAGTTAAAAATAACGTGTTTTAAATGAGTGTCTTTATAAAATATTTCTTGAAAAATGTACTTTTAAATAAATAACTATTTATTATATTAATATTGTAGCTATATTCTTGATTTATACTATTTATTATTTTACATATTTATTTTTCCTATACAGTAAATTTGTGCTTAACAGGCGAGACCATCTTGTTCTCGCTTTGCTCTCACGGAGTTCAACGGAACTATCTCTGTCGTACTCCCAACAGCATAGCAATTGCAGTTTCGATTGGTTTCACGAAACAAATGAAATATTTGAAAAAAATTTTTTGTGGTGAAATAGTTTATTAAATTATCTATTTTCTCTAAAAAGGTTTTTTCAAAATTTCCATTCGTTTCGCTAAGCCGATTGAAACTGCAATCACTGGGCTCGGCTGTTTTAACTTATATTTAAGTTAAAATAATAAATTTTTTTCTGTTATTAATTTATTAATTATTTTTTTCCTCCTAATTCGGCCCTCTGTAACTTCGTTTCTGTTGAGTTTAGGAAAAAAATAAACATAAACAATTTTGTAAAGAATTAAATTTCCTATAAAATAGTTAAGAGCAAAATTGAAAAAAAAAAAAATTTATTTGTATAGCTATTTTAAAAATAAAAAAAAAAGAAATTTTACAATGTTATTTAAATGGAAAAGGAGACCCCCCTTGCGCCAGCTCAATTTTTGAGATATTGAGCTCAAACTTTAGGAGAATTTTTTTTTTATATTGAAGAAACTTTTAAGATACGCTTAATCGAAAAAAAAAAAAATAAAAAGTTATTTTGACGCAGTCTAATCTGTATATAATATAGATATATAGATATATTCACAATGATAAAATACGTAAACCCGGGGTTGAAAAACTGATAGTCATTTTAACAATATTTTTTTTCCGTATACGTTTAAAAACAGTTTAAGTGTAATAACACAAAAAAATCTTAAACCGATCTGAATAGGAAATACTATGGACAGAAACCGATCGAATTCCAATTTTGGATTTATGAACATATGTAATTCAGCAAAATAAAATGAAAATACGACGAATTTATTATTATTTATGACAGATTAAAGTTTGCTGCACGGAAAATTGAACAACTGGGATCTGCCTCAAATTATCATTGATGGTAATATTATACCTTATGTAAACTCAACCAAACGTTTGGGCACACACCTAACAAATAATCTCTCTTGGGATATCCATGTAGCTCACATCACTCGAAAAAAAGCATTAGTTTTCAGTTGCTAGTTTGAACCTCACAAGTTCTGCATGTGTAACGCCAGTTAAAGTCAAACCTAGTTGGAATTTTTGATTTCATGGTACTTGGCTTGGATCACTGATCTATTATGCTATGTTATTATCCAGTCTGGATACAGTTATTTGCCATTATTTGCCATTTGAAGAAAATAAATCCTAATTTTCAAACCGTTTATATTCTTTTTCACATTTCTGTTTACATAAGTTTATTGTTCTAGATCATCTCAGATTATCATCTTCTATAATTTGTATTTTTTGTATCACTGAGTTAAACTGTTAAATTTTTTTTAAATTTTTAATACTCAATTTTTTTATCCTCAAATTTATTTTCTTTGTTTTATTTATCAAATTTGTATTCCAAATTAAGAAAATAATATTTCATAAAAAATAATCAATTTTTATATCTAATATTTTCTAAACTAATAGATATCTAATTTTTTCTAAACTTTATATCTTCATTAGACTTACGTGTACTTTATTATAACTCTTTTTGTATACTTTTGCCATCTGGCTATACTGCCTTGGCATTGAAATGAAATAATAAATAAATAAATAAATAAAATTGGTTCAGCAGCTTTCTATCATTGCGTATACTTTACCATACTTTTTTTTTGCAGATAAATAGAAAGGTTAAATTCAAAGATAGGTTTAATTGGTCTTTTAGTTTCGAAATCGCAACAATTTTTAATTTTGAAATGAATGAAATTTCATATTTTCCCGGTTTATTCCCTGAATAACTTTTGAATACAATAATTTATCAAATTTCTGTAAGTTGCATCGGAAAGCTATTTAAATAAGCTTTAATTTGAGTACTACGTTTGTGTAGACTTAAAATTACGCCCTATTTCACTATGCCTATTATAAAATTTGATATTGCACTGATTTAGGTATAAGGGAATCGGTGAAAATGATTGAAACATTTGACTTATCAGTATTGTAATTTTATTTGGATAGGAAATCTACTTCCATTTTAGTTGGCGAATGGCGATTTTTCTTCTTTCAATTGCTTTACTTTTTAAATCTATATGACATGTTGTGGTTTTTTATATTCGATTTTTTGTTAACTTCAGACTCATGATGTTTTCACTGGTTATGAAAAATTAACTTCGCATTCTTGCAAAATTGCATAATAATTAATTAAAAAATTAATTATATGAAAGAACATCACACAATTATTGAAAAAAAAGGGATAAATATTATTAAGCCGATTTTATAAATTTTTGATTGTGAAGGAGTCAAAATTTATTCTATAATTGAAACTATTTTAAGACACCTAGATTACTAGAGATAAGTTATTAAAACTCTCCAAATATCGTTGCAATTGATTTTCTTAAAAAAATTTATTTTTAGAGCTCATACTTGAACTTCACTCCTGAAAACAAGATTCTATTTAAGAAATACTATCAAACTTTATATTGATTAAAATTAGAAAGTACTTAAACGAAATTTGCAAATCAATAAACGGGTGGCACATTTTAAATAGTAAAAGTTATAGTTATAAATAAAATTAAACTTACCGACAGAACTAAAGGCCAAAGAAAAGTCAGGAATATATTTGAAGAATTCCAAATAGACTCTCTACAACCAGTGATCATGCTTTCAGACCTTTACAAACTATTATCATCTCGGGAAATGAAAACAAATTTCACGAAGCTCAGAAGGAAAATTATTGAAGAATACGATATTGAATATGACTTATCCAATAGCTCAGAAACGGAAAAATCCAAAGCCCAGGGCATATCTGAAGATGATACATCTGACCTGGAGCTTGACACAGAACCCCAAACCCTGTAATTTACACGAGATAAAAGGCTACACACAATTTTCTCACAGACACCTAATGAACGGTTCAAACCCTACCGATTGCCCAGGATGCAACGAAATCGTCTTAGTAAAACACATTACCACCTGTCCAGGATTGATCCAACAGAGAAAAGCACAGCAGCTTCTCAATGAGATGGACTAAATCTCAATAATAGCAGTAAAATGAAACGATTTGTTGACACGATTAATAGAATGAAATTAGAAATATACTTTGTATTTAAAGTGTTTGCGGATTTACAGTCCTGATAATGATCTATCTGTTTGTTTGAAATTATATTCTGTAATTGTATTATAATCTGTCGCCTAGGACCAAATGGTTAAAGCAACGTTAAATAAATAATTTAAAAAAACAAAAAAACTTACCGATAAATTCAGAGCCTTTGTTTTCATGCATAATTATTTTGCAGTTATTGTTCCGATGAACCTTAAAGCCCAAGCAACGAAAACGCTCATCTGTTTTGTACAATACACCGGTTTTATGAGGATTTAAGTAAGGCTGACCACTGAATGGATTTATGAAATCAGCCCAGTATCCAAACATTTTCAGTTTAGTACAAATATCAGAAGCAGCAAGGAGAAACTGCAATAGAAACAATTGTAATTATCAAAGTGAAAAACAATTTTGGTGTCAACAATTAACATTCTAAATAATTCATCTGTAACATATTCGCATAATAAATCATTCTTACTATAATTTTCTTTTTTTACTTAATTTATTTTTCATCAATAAGTTGATAGATGGTTAATAGAAGTATGCTTATAACGCCTATAATGTTCATTAAGAAAATTGAAAGCTCATAAAGTTGTTAAATATACTGTATTAATTAATTTATTAATTCCTTTCTACTTCCAATTTATTGTAATATATAAAATATAGTATTATATGTAATGTAAGATGATAAAATAAAAATATTAAAGTGGATAGTTAAAAATATATAATTGATACTCTTTAAAAATGTTATGATTTTGCCATCTAAATCTTTAAATGATTGATTAATTATCCAAAAATGAATAACGATAAATAGGCAACAAACTAAATTGCAATTTTCATCTGTTCAATTTGGATCGGTAAAAAATTTGGAAAAGAAAGCATTAATTTTTGCTTTTTCATACAAATAATTAGATGAATTAAAACAATAATAAAAAGCAAATATTTACTTAAATTACTGGTATTACTAATACAAATAATATTTATTTTTATTTTTGTTACTATTTTTATGATGAAATTTTGTCAAGTATCTACATCAGCGAACTTGGCTGCCAAAAATAAAACAAAAATATCAATATCAAATATACATGCTTACTTTATTATTATTAGAAATATATCTTCTCTCACGTAAAAATGTTGTTGGGAAATCATCTTATCAGATTTATTTTTTAAAGAAGATTATTTTTTAAGTTCAAAAAAATAATATGGTGCATCTAAATATTACTTTTCAAATAATTTCATTTATCTAGAAAAACTAAAGTTTTTTATATGGTTCGACCATTAAAAATAAAAAAATATCAATTTCCATCAGACGAAAATGGCAAAATAGTTTATGATCTGTTCGATAAATAGACTTCTACTACTTTGTTTGATTGTGAAACTTGCATATTATTTAAGAACTCATAAAAAATTAGTCAATAACAATAAAAACGAATAAATATTAATAAATCTAATTTCATGACAACATCGTTTGTAATCTATTACAATAAAAAACCAGAAGATCATCAATATTTTATAATATTCATTTGGTTTCACAGCAAATATAAATTTTCGAATGAAAATAATATTCTCAATAAAATATTATACACTCAAATAATTACTGCTTAGCCAAATAATACATATATTAGTCAAATGAATTATACAATGTTGCCACATTTTTAATATATGTAAGTACGTTTTATTGACTCTTACTTCTTTCTTTATTCCGAAAATTTAAATAAATAGACTTTTTAATTTATTTCCATTTACAGAACCCAACAGCTATAAGGCCAATAATAGAGTCTCAGAGATAGTTTTGTACAATCCTTATCAAATAAATAACTAAATCGATAAAAGTATAAAAAAATATTAATAAATTTTCAGCAATTATTTAGTATCATTAATTCTATTTTATTTTTAATAGATACATATTTTATGGGGCTTTGAATTAAAAGTTTTTATAATTTTTCAGATTTTGAACAAAACTTGCTGATTATTTCATCATCATAACTTATAATAGAATAGATTTCTAATTTGTTAAAAATTTCAGTTTTTTTTTTCTAATTGTTAAATGACTGCTATCTCGATTCCAAAAATTATTTTTTTAATCAATTTTTTTTCAATTTTGATAGGACCATATAGTCAGCAGACATCACTATCATAATTTTGCTTTGTTTCATCGCATTCTTTCTATTATTTTTACGTTAATTTCAAAGAATTTATTAAACTATGCATTTTATTAGTACCCATTACATTCCTTCTGTTGTCATATTCAATGATATCTTTGAAAAATATTATTCACCATAAAATAATTTACTCACTTTACTATAATATCAAAACACGTTAAAGCTTGTTATAAACTCGAAACGATTAATTTAATTGAAAGATGGTAATGTTCTAATATATTTCAGAGATATATTACTACTAAATGATTCTCAAAATCAAAAGCGATTGATGATACCTATAAATAAAATATTCCAAATTAGTTATAATAATAATTAATAATAAATTACTTACGAATTTAGCTAATTTTTCAGTCTCAATTTCTTTGCTCCATCGCATCATCCTAGGACTCAACTTCTGTGTGATAGTAACAATAGTAAGATGTGGTGAGGCAACTTCGATGCAACTTGGAAAAAGTTCTTGAATACCTTTTCTCAGTAACATGGGGCATTCTTGTGCAATGCAGTGTAAAATAGGCTGATTTTGATGACTTTTCCGTCTCACTCGTTTAAGTTTATTATTTTTAGTTTTACCAACATTTATCATGTCGTTAATTTCAAGACTATTAAAATCATCTCCATCATCACACTCTTCTTTGTTTCTCGGTATCAAAATGGACCGAGTTTCAACTTGAGCAGTAGTCGATTGATCTAACCACCCAGGTCCTATACTCCCTGGCAAATAAAATCTAAATCCTCTTGGTCCAAATAATTCCCAATTTGGGTTGTTGTCCAGTTCTCCATTGTCAATATCTGCGTCAATACCATTCGACTTAATTAATTTGTATGTTGTCGTATTTTTCGCACTTCTACGCGAATATTTAGCCGCAAATATTAAATTTATTGATTTAGAGTAATTTTTTTGAATGATTTTACCACAATACATCTAAAAGAACAAATAATAAAGTAATTATAAAATTAATAAATAAAATATAATTTAGAAAAATACACTTCAAGGTTAGATATTAATATTTCCAATAACTTATATTTATGATGAAACGTATTTAAATAAAATAAACATACCTCGAAATACGACTTAGCATGCTGATTTAAAATTAATGTTTTCAAAACACCCCTTTTAAGTGTAATTGTTTATTTAAATTATATTACGTAGACATTATTATTATAGTTATTATAAACTATTGTTATTGTTACATATACCAATTGGCAAATGTCATTCGACTAGTTTTATCTCTCTCATATGTTTACTATACTCTCCACGTGTAAAAATGCACGTAGGCGCAGGCTTTTACACAATCATCTGATGCAAGATTTATTCTATAGTTTAAATATATAGTACTAAAGTACTAGAATAGAATAGAATACCTACTGAACTTACATATTGTGGCTAAAGGTTGCTTTTCAATTAAAGAACACCAGAACACAGAGCGTAAGCTGTGAGCGGGCACAAAAAACATGCGACTTCGACGATGTTCTCCAAATAGACTACAGATAGCGTTCATAAATCAGTTGAACTGAAAATCTCTTAATTATTTATTAATTATTTTTTTTTTTTTTAATTTGAATTTCTGATCACCAAGAAATTAAGACTAAACACCACTTAAGAAATTTTTATAAATTAAAAACAGTAAAAAAAATATATAATAATTTTAATAATCCATTTTTTTCAGTTTTTCACTTTATTTGAAAAAGTTTTAACCACGTTTATGGCACAAAGAGTGATCTGATGATTTAGCATACATTTGTAAATGCGCTACCAGCAGCTGTAGTCCATGAAATTTTGCCGTCCTGCAACGACTTGTAGCGTATTTAAGAATGTGTAGTTAACGAAAAAAAAAAATTATGTTTATTTTAAATAAAAAAAAAAGCTAGTTTTTTGTTTTTCAAGTCTTTTAATTTCCCGCTAATTTGAATTTTATTATGAGAGATGCGCACGCATTTCTTTACCAATAACCAGCCATTTTCTAACACTCTGGGGAAACTCAGGCTCGTATTTATTGTTGGCATAAAAGTAAAATTATTTTAAGATAGCAACATCAATATTATGACAAATACAAATTAGGTGAAACTAAATGATTATTTTATCTAGTTAATAAAATAGTATCAAACTGATTTAACAATCATAATCGGCTTGTCAACGTTTTTAAAATGAATAATAAAATATTATCATATAATTGTTGAATTTCAGGAAAGGAGTGGATCCATATTACTGCACGACGTTACTGTATATAGAATGAAATTCAGTGGTTATTGTCCGTAGAGAAAGAGAAGAGGCTCTTTGGGCCATTTTAGTCGCCATTGCTAGGGAGTTATCATCAATAACTAGGCACCTAGTTTTCTAGGTCTCTATTTTTTTAAATTGTTGAAAGCATAAAATGGTAAAGTGTTTTTAGTGATTTTGTTCTAAAAGTTATATAGGGTTTTTTTTTCGATATTGAAAAATTAAAATATCTCTCTAGATATTATTTCCAATATTCAATTTTGAATAAATACCATAAGAAATGGAAAAAAATAAAGTATCTCCAAAAATCATTATTGATGGTCACACAGTGGTATGTGCTACTGAATATATTCAAGAGCAGCCACCGCGTCTAACACCAACTGGAAAAATAAGTCACGCGAAAACGAGAGTTTATACACAACGTTATCGCAAAGAGTGGGAACTTATGCCTGATTTCAAAGGTGATTTTTTTACTCTATTATTATTTTTATCACCAACTAATACTTGTATTTACGATTTTCTATTTCTCATTCAAATAAGATGGGGAAAAATTTTTTTTCTACAATGTTATTACGTTTTAACGAATTAGAGTATCATAAAACTCAATACATATTTATATGGAAAATTTAACGATTTACAGAAAAGTACTGAGATGGTTTTTTGCCAAGTCGACTGGTTTGAAAATTAATCAACGTTAAAGTTCAACCTCTAATGATGTGTGATCAATTCGAAAAATTTTTTAAAGCTTATTACGGAATAATAATTTAAAAGTAAGAAAAATCATATACTCTGCGAAGTTTGTCTTGTGTTCTTTGGTAAAACAATGAAATTTTTTAAGAACTTTAATGTTAAATAACTTTTAAACCAGTCGATTTGACAAAAAATCATTTCAAACCTTTGTTGAAAATCGTTAAACTTCCTATAAAAATATGTTGTGAGTTTTACGATATGCTAATTCATTAAAACGTAATAACATTCAATAAAACTTTTATCTTCTCGCTAAGAAAATCAACGATTTTAAAAAAATCAGGAAGTTATTGTTTTCACCTGGATTTTCGAAAAACTATTTTTCATCATTTCGATGTTTCGAGGTCCTGAGAAGCTGTTCTACCTAGTTTGGTAATGATGTCCGTATGTATGTATGTATGTGTGTGTGTGTGTGTGTGTGTGTGTGTTATGTGTAAACATTTTATAATTTTGTAACGGAATATCCGATCAAAAAGCGATTTGCGGCATCTGAAAGGACCTCGCTGAACTTATATTTTCTATAAATTAAGACCGAATTGACACTATAGATTCTGAGAAAACCTCAAAAATTCGATTTTGTTTAAATTTTGAAAAAATGTTTTTTTGGAATTACTTCGAAACTTCTGTTTCGATCAATTCTATGATCTAATCAGTTCTTCTCTTCAAAAAATGACGTCGATTGCCACAAGCCGCATCAAAATCAATTGATTTTTTCCAGAGATATCTAATTTTTTTATAATCAACAAAACATGTTTTTTAAATCTAATTTTTCAATCATTTATCAAAACGGATTTCTTGCCGAGAATTTTGATAAAGCTCTTCAAGCTCAAAAACATCGTAACAGCTGTTAACCTAGGTTAAATGTAGAGCGCTTTCCATTTGAAATTAGCGGAAAGTTGCAGGGATTGCCTGTAGGTTCAATCGTTTTACTAATTTTTTTTTCCTGTGTTATTTAAATGGTAAATAGAATATCGCAAATAGGTACCTCTTAATATTAATATTAAGAGCTCAACTTTTATAAGAAATTTTTTTCCATCATCTTATCCAATATTTTCAAGATAACTAAAGAAAAAAAAATTAGTTGTATTTTCTGACCCACTCTAATAATCATATTCATATCTTTTTAAAAATAATATTACAATATAAAACTACTATCAATACCGTGATATTTTTCTTCCATTCAATATTGAAAGCTGAAGCGCAAAGTTTATAACAATAGAAAATTATGAAAATTTTTATATCGAACAATAAATACATTAATAGCTCACCACTAAAATCTCTCTATGCCTTTATAAAGATATATTTTCTTAGCACTAATTTATTTTTTAAATAAAATCAAAAAATTGTCGGGTATCTGGTGATTTCAGTGTGTGTATATATTTAAATAAATGCTATAAGTTAAACTTGTTAAAAAAAATTTGTTGTTAACAATTCAATGAAATTGTAATTAAAATAATTAAACGAATTTTCAGGATGGCTGACATCAGTAGAAAGGCAACCTACACGTGCGTACTGTACATATTGTAAGAAAAATCTTCATGCACATCGGTTGTCACTATTAAAACATACCTGTACAATGAAACACCAAAGAGCAGCACTGATGCATCAAACCCATATGCAAAAAACTGGAGAAGGTGATCTCAAGTATTCACCTCCATTTGAAACAATAACTTTCGAAACTGTAAAACAGAATGACGATGAAGAGAACGAAGATGGTAATGATAATGATGATGATGATGATGATGATGATGATGATAATGATGAAGGTAATAATGATAATGAGCATGAAGTCGAGTACAACGAAGATATAGAATATATTGAAGAACAGAGTATAGATATGGACAATGAGGAACAAATTGACGAAAAAACCCAGCAGATTGTTGAGCTGGAAGATTGTGATTCACAAGATTTTTCTTTAAAAATAGATAAAAATGAACCGTGTAGTAAAAAGATTAAGCTAGATCCTGGTGAGCGTAGAGATACATTGGCTGAAGCAATGGCGCATGTACATGGAGAATATTCAGATGATAATGACAATCAATACGAGGAAGATGACTGTGAAAATATTGTGCATAATGAAGACAATATTACAGAAGAAGAGAGAAAAATTAATCAAGTGCCAATAACTAAAATCTTGAAAAATCAGCAAAGTGGTGTTGTTATTAAACTACGTAATAAGAAAATTACAGATGATTTAAATACAAATAATGATACTGATGAAATGGGAACAAAGGTTTACACTACTTGTCAATTAAATTCATCACATCTTTTGAACGCTGCACCACACGAAATAAAAAAATTGGTTGCTATTGTATCAAAGGGAACGAAAACGACGCTATTTCCTGGTAAAACTCTGACATTCACTCCATCAAAATTAAATTCTAAATTGGTTCTTGATAAACTCAAAGGTAGTAATAATTTATCTTTGGTGGTGTCAGATCCAAAAACACTAACTCAACGTTCTCCTGTATCTAAAATATCTAATAACAATGATACCAATATTAATAATAATAATTCTACCATTAATACTAAAAATAACTCAAAAGGATCTACTGTTACCGCTGGTCCGAGTGAAAAAACTAAAAAACCAAGTAATTTAATTAGAAATATCAAATTTAAGCCACCACCTATTTCCACTCATGTCATGGATACTAGCAAAGGAATTCCTGTATCTGGACTTCAAGTAAGTTTGTATAAACTTATGGATGGACGATGGACCTTCTTAAACGAAAGGTATTGCACATTAATTTTTCACAATAAATTTAATTTATTTGTTATCAATTTTTTATCAAACAAAATTCTCTAAAGTTTTGTCTCTAACTTAACACTGAACGTAGTTTATTGGCTGAAACATATGTACGCTTGACCCCTTATATTGTAATTTGACTAGAAGATTGTACTTGAAAAATTGAAACAAAATTTTATAACATTTTGTTATTGGTCTATTAATTGGTTATTATTATTATTACATATTTTTTTTTTTTTTGTTAAATTTCAATTGATTTGGTTTCGAAATTTGTTGTTCGAAAAAAATTAAAGTAGTGAAAAATTTGAAAAACTTAAGTAGCACCAATACAACACTTTAAAATCGATCACTGTAATTTATTAGAATAATTACTCGTACTTCATAATTGAAACAGTTATGATTGACTTTCTCATTTTATAGTCTAAATTGAATGAAATAATTTGTTAATTAGAAATTTCAATTATTAAAATAAAAACATTTTAATAATTTTACTTTTTATAAAAACTTGTTCACGAAAATAAAAAAAAATATATTTATGTGGATAATATATTAATTTTTTCTTTCAGCTCAACATTATCTGACGGACGTTGTACAGATCTTGTTGATGATTCAAAAATAAATTTAACTGCAGGCCGCTATAAGATTCATTTCGACGTCGATAAATATTTCACAGTCCGAAGAATTGAAACAATGTATCCATTCATTGAAATAGTGTTTGATGTTAAGAATCCAACAGGAAATTATCATATACCAGTTTTATTGAGTCCACATAGCTACACAACTTATCGCGATTCTGGAGGGTGGCCCAGTTGGGATGATAGTCATTAAGACAAAAAAAAATTTGTTTTCAACCACTAGAAATCACATTATTACAAATATATAATAACTAAAAAATATATAAATAAAAAAATATGTATATGATTTATTAATATTGCAAAAAAAAATATTATATAATTCTATTGCAATAATAATTTTAAATACGCCCTGGAGTTTTCAAATTCTTGATAAGTTATTAAGTTTTGTCTCTTGACTTAAAATTTATACAAATTACGTCAAAAAAATATTTTTGTATTTTGGTAAAAATTCAGTGACAAATAAACTTACATGTTGTTTTATTTCTTATCGTATTATCGTATATCGTTTTTAAATTCTTCGACCTGTGGTATCGCTCTGTAGATAGAGATAAATTTTTTTATTATTGGTTACTGAGCTCAGTTGATGCTGTATAATAGTACAACAACTGTATAGTACACACATTTAGACAAGAAAATAATTAAATTATATTATTAAACTGATAAATAATGGATAAGTTACACATATCTACTCACGTATTAGATACAAGTCGTGGAATCCCAGTGCCGAATCTACCGGTGAGTCTTCACAAAAACGAAAGTACCATCTGGGTTTTGATAAGTGAAAGGTAAGTTGTTTGTTTATTTTTTAACATAACAAATTTGCAAAATTATAATGTAATTAAAATAAATACAAATATTTATTATTTTAAACAGTAAAACAACATCGAATGGAAGATGCTCTGATTTATTAGAAATAGCTGGTCAATCATTAACGGAAGGGCGTTACAAACTTGTATTCAACGTAGAAAATTATTTTACTACAACTGAAAGATTATCGTTGTATCCAATTATTGAAGTGATATTTGACATAAAAAATGCTAATCAAAACTATCATTTGCCACTTCTCGTAAATCCCTTCGGATATAGTACATATCGCGGAATTTGATGTATGTATAAATTATTTAGAAAATAAAATTTAACAAGTTACTAACAAAGCATTAATTGAACTAGTAAAAACTGCATTAAACCTACGTTTGATACTTCTAAAGTAAATAGTTGTTGAAAATATTTATCGTTATTAAATAAATTAACTTGGAGGAAGATAAGTTTTGTCGGAACTGGATGATCCTCCGCCGCCTGCTGGAGGTTTGCCGCCACCAGAGCCTGGACGACCTTTGCCACCATCGCCAGCTCCAGCATTTCCGCTAGGTCTGCCACCACTACTGCCTCCACCAGGTCTACCACCTCCACCTCCTCCTCCTCCTCCTCCGGGTTTCCCGATGGTGAAACTTGCTCTGTTGCCATTTTCATCTGCTTCATATCTTAATAAATAACAACAACAATAACGATTTTAAAGGTGTCAAATAATAAGAAGCTAAAATTCAAAAGGGAACTTGGTCAATTTTTATTTTTTTTTTTATTTATAAAAACATCTCATTAACTATATTTTGTAACCAATTGGTTACAATTGGTAATATTAATATTAGAACATTTAATAAGAAAAAAATTTTTCATAGAATTTTTTAACATAAATTTTAAATAATAAGAACATCAGATTTATTTTTAAATAATTAAAAAATTATAAATTATCGTTTAAATTATAAATAAAAAGTAATAATTAGTGATTAAAGTTATAAAATTAATAGTTTTTGAATAGACAATAATTAACAAATCAATTATGCGTCTTTGAACAATATTAAAACGTTTAATTGGAATAAAATTGATTTTTGCAACTTGTCACAATGATTATTTAAGATGCTTCTAGGTATACAAAAATATTATGAAAAATTTTCTTTCATTGATACAATAATATTATAGGCAAAAATTAGTTTGTTAGTCGGGTAAGAATAGAGCCATTAAAAAAGAGAATGAATCAAATATTCAAAAACAAATTTAAAATATGCCTTGGTAAAAAATTAAACAAAAAAAAAATAATGGACATGAATATTCCTAAAATTTGTTCATAGCTGATTAATGAACAAATAAAAAATTATTAACATCGCTGAATCGAATCTCACCTAGATTCAGTAGACGAAAAACAATTGTAAACTATTATTTAATATTTATCACCGGTAAATACCAAAAAAATAGAAACGTGCTTCACGCTAAAAAGATTCTTGATAATATAAGTTCATCATAAGAAATGTAGAGTACACTATGTTAATAGGTAATACGCTTATTACGATTTACAATTGCGAAATCACAGAGAAACTTAAGAATTATTTATATTATATACCTAAGGTTGCACAGCGAAATATTCACGAATTACAGTATCCAATAATCAGATACATAATAAATGGCAAAATATCCAATAAATACAAACTTTTATCAAACTATGAAATGTTTATCGACTGTATTTAGCAAATACTATTAGAACTCATAATCACACAGTCACAATTAAATACCATTTCGGTTAATGCTTAATTTATAATTTATCTATAAAAAAAATTTCAGAGAACTCTGAGTTCAATATCGTAATATTTTCAAAATTTTTATTTTTAATTGGGTTTTTGCTAAGCCTGTAAATTGTGAACATTATGTAATCATATACAATAGTCTCAATTAAATATTGTATCTCTTGGGAATTAGGATCGTGAAAATGATATATTACCCGTAATATTATATATTCGTGGATATTTAGTTATTTTACTGAATACAGAACATAATATTATCTCCATGGGTAACATTTTAAATTAATTAAATAAGTTAATAATTATTTGTTTTTATATTTAACTATCAATTTATTCCATTATTTATTAAACAACTGCTTTAACACTTTAACTTTTATGGATAATTATTGTCAAAATAAATTTTTTAAAATAATTTTTTCTTTAAATAAATATAAGACGAATACATCATTACAAAAAGGATAATTAGATTACAAATTTCAAATGAGAATTTAGTTGTCAATAGACGGGTTGATGAAAAAAAATTAAGAACGTACTTTTTGGATTCAAATTTATCAAAAAGATAGATAGAAAACATCACTGAAGCAACACAAAATTTTTTTTGTAACATATTGTTAAATTAAATTTAACTATTATTAATTTTTGACTTGTTCTTAAATTAAAATCGGCCAAAAAGATAACTTTTTTTTGTACTGCTTAAATAATTATGTCCAAGTCAGATAGCACCTTGGTAAATAATACAAAGCTTAGATAATAATTTAGTATACAATATATAATTTCCAATTCTAAATATATAAATTAAAAAAAATTAGTATGACTCAATTTAATAATATAAGATAATGTAAATTTTACTAAATCTCACTAGTCTATGATAATAGTGCCTCTATTTTTAACTCCCATCGATTGAAATCTTAATATAACAATAACATTTCAAAATTTGTATTTTTTTTTTTTTTACCGCTAGTCTTTTAGAATGCCTAACATCAGTGTGTTTAATAAATTGCTGATGAATTATTTATAAAATTATTCAGTAAATAATATAAAAAATGTTTCTTACACGCGACGAAATAAGTTATAAAATTTCATAACCTGTGATAAGTCCCCTTTTTAATTTCAGCTTTTTGAGTCATAAATATTATTAAAAGAATAACTATACTTACTTGACAGCGATTGGAAGCCCCTCAGGACTATCATAACCAAAATTACCCTTGACTACACGTACTAGTTGGCCATTAACTTCTTTAAGATCTTCAGTTTCTTCCCTGATTACTCCATCTTCTTTAGGAGCTTGTGGTGGAGTTGCTGGAAGCCGTGAACCACCACTTCTGCCGACATCTGGCCTGGAACCAACGTCGGCGGCACGGCTACCTGGAGGAGGAGCTTGTAATGATTCTCCGCCAGATTTGGTAGCATGTGGAGGCGCTTTTTGACCTGGTGATAACTTATCTGCATTGCAGAGAAGACTTCCAATCAACAAACACAGTACCTTTAATTCAATATTTCCTAGTTAAAAAATTATTTTTTAAGCTATTGAGAATATTTTTTTTATTAGTAGTGATTTTCACTAAAAAAATTGAATTCATTTGAATTAAAAGGGAAATAATAACTGGAACATAACGTCTTAGAAGATAAAAGATGACTTTTAAGAGAAACCAACTCGAAGAAAGTAAAATCTCAGAAATATCAGTACAGAATGCTATCAATAATTGTGAGAAAAAGTTCCGTTCACTGATATAAGAACTTGTTATTAGTTAATAAGTTTTATTAATTTTTAATAAATTATTTTTTAACCATAGATGACTCAATAAATATTTATTAATAACAGTTAAAAAAATTTTTTTTAATAGTTAACAAATCGTTTATTTAATACAATTTGTGAATAGTTAATAAATTTTCATTTATAGCGATTAAATATTTTTTAAATGTTAATTAATATTTATCAATTATTTATGAGCATTTGCTTAGACCCTTTAATAAAAAGTGAATGGAAAAATTCTACTCAGACGTTTCTTATGACCCATACTTCAATAGATAATAGAATCCCATTAGATCAGGTTTATTCATAGTCATCTTATTAAAAAATAGATAAAATAAAACAAATCATAAAACAATGGTAGTAAGAAATTACAGAATTTTTATCTATGTTAAAAATTATTGGTGTATTGATTGTATCTTTACTATAAAAGGTTAAAACATTGTTTATATATGAACGGTTTTTACATCACAGCGTAAACAAGAAACATTCTATCAAAAGAAATTATTCTTATTAAATATTCGTTAGCTGTTAATAAATATTTTCTAACGGTTAATAAATGTAATTATCGTTTAAAAAAAGTATTTATTCAAAGTTAAACTACAATTTATAATACTTCATAAGTTTAAAATGAATTAATTAATTAACAGGTACTAAAGTCTGCTATCAGTGTACTTGAAATAACTCAACCATTAAAAAACTTGCAAAAAATATCTAATCTACCTTTAAATTTTCAAATTTTTACATTTTTTGTATTGTAGCACAAAAACATTTTTAATAAAAAAAAAAACCTCTGAATAAATTGATTTCTAGTTACAAATTGATTAATCCGCCGAAATAAAGAGAAAATTTTTTATCAGGGGATAGAGAAAATTCGAAAATTCATGACAACTAATAAGTTATTGTTATGGGTAATAAATATACTTCAATCATTTATTCTTAGCGAATTCATTTATTTTTAGCGAATCAATTGTCTGCGAATCAAAGGTCATACATTGAGAAGACTGATTGATTTAAGGAAAATATTTTCTCCAAAATTTTACTCTCATTTTAAGATATTCAATTTTTTTTAATTCAACGAATTAACCCGCGAATAAATAACGTAAAAGTCTTGGATAAAAATCGAAATTTTCTCTATTCAGGAGTTTTATCAATTTGACGAAGCACTTTACCTCTTCTAAATAGAATAATACATGCATATAGACTTTATCGAAAAATTTATTTCTCTTTAATTTAGATACGCGGTAAAATTTGTTCAAGATATTACTGACTTTTTCAAAAATTCCGTTAAAACTAAAAATTCTTGGAAGTCTGCTTCTTTCTACAAAATAAAAAAGTTTTAAGTACGTTTCAGAATATGTTGAAGTAGAAGAATTTGATTATGTTGAGTGATCTCTTGAGCCAAGAAGACAATGTTCAAGACAACAAATTTTTGAAGTAACACCACCAATAATCATCAAAAAAAGTTTTTTAAACCATTCTTCTCTAAATAACAACTCTTTTTTTTAATCACTATAAAAATTAGAATTTTTCTTATCTCTTAATTACTGTTTTGAATATATTATTTTAACAATCACAAGTTTGCAATTTTTTTTTTTAATTTGTAAAATTTGATCTCAGAGAAAAAAATTATTTGATATCTAAGTTCCAATGAACATATTTTACGCTTCACAGCTCAGAAAATGAATTGATCACACAAAAAATAAATTAATACAAAAAATAACCTTTGAAATTATAAAATCAAAATTTTTATGATTAATTGACAGTAAATTAATAAAACTATAAATAAACCTCAAATTTTTTATAGTATGCGCAGTGAACATCTAATTATCTTCATAATATTATCATTTTAATAAAAAATTTTTAGCCAATTAATCGATTCCAATACATGCACTTTCACTGATAGCCTAACGTGATAATGCCGCATATTTGCCAATACAAATGATTTGAAACTCATAAGAGTATAAAATTATGTAATACCTAAATAAGCTATTTTCACCCAATCAATCATCGACATAATAAAAGTGCTTAAAAGTAACAAAAAAATAAAAAAAAAATTACTTAGTGCTCTTAATTATTTTTAATGACAATCAACAATCACATACCAACGTACTTCCTTTAGCGATATCGAGACTCTTCATGATAATGATAACAAGTTTAATGAACAATATTTTAAATAATAATTTTATTATAGAATTATTGTACGAAATGACATCGTCTACTAGGGAGAACGCTTTGTTATACCAAGCTTCGCGAGTGGAATTATAAGAGTAACATGCACTGATGATGATCCTGAGCCTTTATATAGGATTCACCGATGCAGATTTACTAAAGTTTTACTTAGTATGGTGGATATAATACTAAACGTTAAACTGCAGACTGCAGTATCCCACTCTAGGTGATTAGATACTTGTACAATACAAGTAAAGCCTTGATGCATCTTGCCAATAAAAGGTTCTTTTTATTTTTCTTTACAATATAACAACTCAAGTTAAGATTTACAAGTGTCACCATTCTCCTTTATTCGATCCGGATCATCTTCTTTTATTTTTATTTTATCTTAACATTTAACGGTTTTTATTTTTTAAAGACACTTAAGGAGTTTCTCAATGCCATTAATAAATACACAAACTCTTATATTAACAACAACTTCAGATAATTCAATACTTTGCCGTAATCCAATAATTATTGTCAAGGCTCTGAAGATCTTAAAAACGTAAAGCAACTCGATTTATTTAATGACATTTAATCATTTGACAGTGATAACTTTTTACAGGATTTAAGTATTGGCAGATATAGATTTTCTAAGAATCAAATCATTTGTTTTTCTTATAGTCAAATGATTTTGCAAATTTTAATAATACTTTTATAGTTTATTATAATTATAATTTGAAATTAATCACTTTATGTGTAATAAAAATGTTTTTGAACATCAAAAAGAAGCTAAAAAAGATTTAATCAAAGTTTATCTGAGAAAAATCAACAGACCTGGATCCCACATTCTACTTTGACCTGCGTCAGCGTAGATCTGAAAAATTGTACATAAAAGTTGACGGTCAAGAGTATTGACTATGGATTTATTTAGTTTCAAACTAGTTACGGAAATTGTTTAGTTTCACGGTCACCTGGTTTTTTAAATATAAAAAATTTTTAAATTAAGTTATTTATAGAAGAAAAGAATAAAATGATATTCTGAAAATTGATGTCTGAAGAATTTTAGTAGAAAAATGACATATTACATTTTTTGATTTTCTTAGCCTTGAATCAACCAGATAATTTTTCAAATGTCTTCTACTTGAATAACAAAATTTGTTAGTTCAAAAACTTTTTTGGTTGGTTCAAAGCAAATAAATTCTTCAAAATAACTTTACTCATGAGTTGTCAAATTGGAATTTTACAACTTCAAAATAATTTTGGAGGTTTAATATTTATTCTCTTGATTTCATAATATATACGATAAAAAAAGTGCTGCATTTAATTTTTAAAACTGCTATCTTAAATGAAAATTTTCGAAAAATATCGTTTTTTAAACTTTAAAAAACAGAATAAAAATTTTTTTGAAGTATCATTCAGCATAAAAATAAAATATTCTATGTAACGGAATATTCAACGGGTTAAGTTAAATTATCATATAAATAAGTAAGCGAAAATGTATTTTATGAAATTTGGGGCTTGATAAATATTCAGTGGTCAATTTCTTACCAGCCAGATACTTACTAAAATTAATTATTACTGCTTGCTTTATTGCTGACATAAATATCAAGCCATTTCACTGCAGACAAAATAATTCTAGACTGTTCTGTTCATTAAATAATATTCGTAATGGCCAGTTATTATTGACAATCGTAAGAAAAAATAATTTTGTCATTAAGAATTCATTATTATTTTCATGCAATTATTATTAATAAATAAGTAATAAAACTATTCAAAATTTTAGAAGTACTAAAAACCTAAGCTGAATTTTTAAAGATTTATAGATCTGATTATTTTTTTTTTTAGTTTGTTAAGAACTTAATGCAAATTTTTCAAAATCACATAAGAAATACGTTGAATTCTTGAAGATTTCATGGGGACCTTATGATAAATCACGCGTATGACTATTTTATTAAGACTTCGTAGTGTACTTATAACTTGAAATTTCATTAAAATCTTACGAAGCAATAACATTTTATATTTGCTATTTTGAAGTTCTGTAATATGGAGTAGAATTTCAGGAAAATAAAAAAAAAATAAAAGAGATCGGATTTTTGAAATTTTCGATTTTAATCCCAATATCGTGATTAAATAACGTATGTCATATTATGATGTGGAAATAAGACTGATATTCATTACTACTTTTTAAAATAAAATATTTTTTATTAATATATATTACATGACTCATGATGCGAAGCATCAAAGAGTGCTTTACGATCGAAAAAATTTTTTTAGCCTTATTTCAGCAACTATTTTTATTATTACATCTTTGTCAATTCACGGAATCAATATATTTTGCATACTATTGTGAAGATAATTTAATGAAGATTAATTAATATCTAAAAGCTGTCATATGTTATAGTTAAACAGACTATTAACAGGTGACACCTCTACAGCCTCTCGACATATATAGTTAAATATGTTGTTAGCAGACAGCACTGCAATTTTTATAAAGTTTTTTTCATGAACTTTTTAACATGAAAATTTTTTCACTTTTCTTTATATTTTCTGTCAAAGTAGAAAGCGTAAGCTTTAACATAGTATTTGAATTTATGAGTTTGGTAAATAAAATAAAATAGGCCTAACCAAATGATCCAAAAAAATAGTTTTGAGAAAAATGATTCGTGATGATAATTACTTCAAATATTTTTTTTTTTTATTTCTTTTTCTTTGAAACTAGATTTAATAACGAAAAAAATTTTACCCTTTCCTTTATGGATCTTAGCGAAATTGTTAGTTATGTAACAATTAGAAACTCAAAAAAACAGTTTTAAATTTGTGATTTTTTAGAAAGTAATCTCCCGAGAAAAAATATTTATATATAAATTGGTTATATATGATTATATATGAAAAATAGCCAAATATAATATCATTTATAATTATGTATAATTACATATAACTATATATAATTATATATAACCTGAGGATGTCACAAGATCTTGTGACGAAACGTAGTGGTATGAATTAATAAAGATTTGAAATATGTCTAAAAATGGATCGGGAAAGTTGGCTTTGAATCATTACACTCTTTAATTTATGAAATCACCGATCTTAGGAATATTTAGAAAATTATATATAACAATATTTAATTATATATTTATTACATCTAATTAATTATTGGGTTAATTTTATAGATAGAGTATTTAATATGGTCCTACGCAATTCTCTGTAACCCATCCAACTATTAACCCTGCTCAATGCTGCTTAACTTTGGAGATCTCCGTGCGTCTTGAAGTTTCTGTCTGCTATGCTGCTGTCTTAGATGATAATGATTCTATGATCTACATAATGTATCATATGAGTTTATCATAAATATAATATAAAAATTGATTTTATAATATATTTGGATTTGGATTTGAACGTTGAATAAAAAAGGTCTCTTATCATTTTTTGATAAATTCAATCCTCCGAAAGTTATTCGAGGTTAAAGTTAAGCTTATTGCAAATTTGTGGATTATTTCACTTTTACGGTAAATTTATTACACCGGCATACGAAAAAAAAAGTTGTTTGTACTTTCGACCGGACCCACCTACCGACATGTTTTTCGACCCCCTGAATCCAAATTTGGAGTCTGTTTGGCCCAGTCTAGATTTGAATGAAATCTGAATCTAAATGTTAATTACCCCGTCTTACTACGAATGGGAATTACTTCTTGTATTAGTATACTCTCCAGTAGGAGGTGCCCTGGTTGCAGACACAAGCGATCGTAAGGAATTTTTAATCGACCCAAGATTTGAACTCTATTTCAGGACGTAAATTTTATAGGAAAAATGAACGAGACGGAGAGTAGCTTGGTTTAGTTTTAAAAATGTGTCTCAAAACTTTTTAGGAAATAAAAAATGCGAAAACTACAGGACGTTAGTAGAAGAATAGGTGACAAATTACAAAAATTTAGGTCGCTTAATGAACCCCAAACTACACTGATAAAAAAATTGACTTGACTCAAGAGCCAAACTCTTGAACCAAGAATACTATTTTGACGAAAATGATATTCTTGAGTCAAGAGAATAAATTCTTGAGCTAAGAAATCATTCTTGGTCTAAGAAAATTTTTTTGAGTCAAGAATTTATACTCTTGACTCAAGAACTTGAACCAAGAATACTATTTTGACGAAAATGATATTCTTGAGTCAAGAGAATAAATTCTTGAGCTAAGAAATCATTCTTGGTCTAAGAAAATTTTTTTGAGTCAAGAATTTATACTCTTGACTCAAGAAAATATTTTTCTTCAAAATGGAATTCCTTGGTTCAAGAGTTTGGCTCTTGAGTCAAGTCAATTTTTTTATTAGTGTACACTTTATGGATTCTCACGTCGACCACTGACAGATTTTTGCTGGATGCTAATAAGAGAAGTACCAGAAGAATACAGAAAACGTAAAAGGAACACACTGCATAGGTCATTTTAAGATAAAAGAGTTCGATACAAACAAACGAGACTGTTTGAAATTCGTAAATATGGTTTTATACCTTCTCCTTACATGTTATTTTCTAGAAATTTTAAAAATTTGTCAATTTTGAATTCTAAGATCATATTCCATCGATGAAAATACACCCAAGTCATCAATAATCGTGTTTAATAAATTATTTCTTATATCTATAACTGCAATTTTCCCAATTTTTTTGATTTTTAAAAATTTTGAAACGTTACTAGCGTAAAAATAACTTCAGATTCTAATTCATACTCAATCTGAATCCAAAAAGTTTTTTTCATCAATAATTTTGATTTTTTTTGATTTATCGAAATTTTTTTCGATTTTTCGCAATTTTTTTCAAATGTTAACGGCTTAACGGGCTAATTAACATTTAGATTCAGATTCAGTGAATTGAAGTACATAAAAATCATATTTGCTCCGGGTGCACAAAAATTTTTTCATCGTGACTGCGTTTGCCTTTTTTTGGGTTTTTTGAATTTTACTCAAATCTAGACGGTGACTAGGCCAAACAGACTCTAAATTTAGATTCAGGGGGTCGAAAAACATGTCGGTAGGTGGGTCCGTTCGAAAGTACAAACAACTTTTTTTTTTCGTATGCCGGTGTAATAAATTTACCGTAAAAGTGAAATAATTCACAA